CAATAGTGTCCCTTCAATGTACTGAAATAATAAAACCTTACAAAGTAAGAAAGGAATATTCAGGCCATTGGAAGTCCAATACTAACAATATTATTCTGTTCTTCATGCAAAATTGGAACAAGTTTTTCCATGGTAGGTAATGGCAATAGAAGAATAAACTGTACCACTGATGTATTTATCTGTGTGCCATTTTACAACTTCCAACACACTTTTATCACATGTGGTCTCATGACTGAAAGTTTCCAAATCGCTCACAGAGAACTCTTTGAGATTCTAAGTGATGTTTTTACAGAGTTGTAGTATATGACCCATTCATCCTGAAAGGTTTTTAAAAATATTTATCAAGCTGTGCGTGGTGGCGCACGCCTTTAGTCCCAGCACTCGGGAGGCAGAGGCAGGCGGATCTCTGTGAGTTCACAGCCAGCCAGGTCTACATAGTGAGTTCCAGGACAGCTGGGGCTATAGGGAGACCCTATTTCAAAAAGACAAAAAAAAAAAAATCATTTTTTTGCATGTAAATAGGTAAGTATACTGCCTGAATGTAAGTGCACCAGTGTTGTGCAATGCCCATGGAGGTCAGAAGAGGGTGTTGGATCCCTTACAGATGGTTGTTAGCCACCATGTGGGTGCTGGGAACCAAAACCGGGTCCTCTACAAGAGCAGACAGTACTCTTAACTGCTGAATCATCTCTCCAGGCCCCATCCTGGAAGTTTTTATAAACATCTTATAGACTGGCAATTTTTGTAGTTCTCATTGCATGGTATTTGTTCTACAAGCAAACTTGCTAGAATGAAGTCCTCATTTCCCCCTTAAGTTTCAGACCACTAGAATGAATGCAGATTCCTGATCATCTTCAGACATTATGGGATATTGCAGTTGTATTTTGTCAAAGATGAAGGAAGTCAATTTGAGAACTTTTGATAATTTCCAAAGGGATTTTGCAGGGAATTACTGGTAAATTAATTTAGATCTCTAAGCTTCCAAAAAAATTTTGGAGCTATACAATCTTCAGAAGCCTGAAGGGGATAGTAGAAGACTTATTTACCCTAATAATAAATACTTTCTGATGATTAAAATAAGGTTTTTTTTTAAAAACTTTCTGTGACTGTGAAAATTCATAATCAGAAAGATCACAGTGTGGATCAGAATCCAGAAAACATTCCTAAATGTAAGTAGTACACCTTTCAAAAGTTCATGACACAGCAGAAGGTCAGAACTCACCTCACCATCTCAGCAAGTGCTTCATTTGAGACCATGAATACCTCATATGGTAACTTAAGGAGCTTTAAATTAGTCCTATAAGACTTGAATTTCAGCCTAAGTCAAAGTCACAAAAGTACCCTAAGATGAAGTGCGTAAAACAAAAGTACTTATTTTTGTTGTTTGTTTGAGACAGGATTTCTCTATGTAAATCAGGCTATCCTTGAACTCAGAGATCTGCTGCCTCTGCCTCTGGAGTGCTAGAATTAATGGCATGTGCCACCTCACTGGGCCAAAGTACTTATTTTTTTAATTTTTATTTATTATTTTTATGTGTATGCATGTATTGCCTGCATGTAGGTAAGTGCACCTGTGTCGTGTAATGCCCACGGAGGACAGAAGAGGCTGTTGGATTCCCTGGAACTGGAGTTACGGATAGCTGTTAGCTGTCATGTGGGTGCTGGGATTCAAACCTGGGTCTTCTGCAAGAAGAGCCATAGTTCTTAACTGCTGAGCCATCTCTCCAGCCCCAAAGAACTTATTTTTTAGAAAGTTTTGTTCCACTGTTCCAAGAAGTTCTGTTTGGAAATCTGTGTTTACAATAATATAACAGTCCCATCAAATGTTATGAATGTCACAATGTGTTTTGTGTTTAATTTGATTCACATAAAACTGGCAGATCAAGGATTTTATACATGAAGAACAGGAGGTTCCAAGAAGTAAGTTTCTTTTCTTTCTTTTTTTTACAATATATAATTTTAATTAAATTTTTGTGTATTTCATACAATACATCTTAGTCATATTTAGACCCCCTCCCCTATCTACATCACATTCTATACCCTCCTCACTAGGTTTCATGCATGCTGTCATACATGTTAAGGTCTACTGAGTCAAGTTTCTGTCCCCAAGTGTCTCTCAGTGTGAGTTCATCCACTGGAGCCTGGTCAGCCTATTTAGAATCCCTCCCTTAAAGAAGGCCAACTCTTCCCTCCCCCAGCAGTGATCAGCTGCCAATAGTTCCTCAGCTAAGGTTGGGGATTCTTACCTATTTCCTCACTTCTATGCTGGTTATTGTCTGAGTCTGCATGGGTCTTGTACATGTTGTCACCATTGGTAAATTCTATGAGCAAGTTCCCAGCTGCCTGGAAAACTGTTTCCTTGTGGTCACCTACTACCACTGGCTCTTACAGTCTTTCTGCCCTCTCTTCCATAATGGTTTCTGATCCCCGGGTATGTAAGGTTTAATACAGAAGTCCTATCCAGGGACATACTCTGCAGGCCCAAGAGCTAAGTTTCTTGACCAAGGATCATAACTGAGGAAGTGGAAGAACTAGACTCAGAAGGTTTTCTGACCCCTAGACTATTGCTATTCCTAAGGCGCTAGACTTTCCTGGCCCCTCCCAAACTACTGTTCATTCTTTATACCTCACCACAACAAACAATAAGATAGTAATGTTCCTAACTTTAAGTATGGAAAGTTATACCAAAACAGAAAAAAAAAAAAAAAAGAAACAAGTTTTCTCCTCCTGTGAAAAACCAGGAACCTTACTAACAAGCATGAAAATGTCTAAATTCATTTGCTCCACAGTGTAGAGTGAGGTTAGGGCTGTAAAACAGGAAAAAACTCAAAGTATAATCTTCCCGATCTGATATGGTTAGATCTGAAGATGAAAGAAATGCCACTGACTACAATCTACATGTGAGTTGTAGGATTTGTTTTTAACTTTTTCTATTTTTTTTTTTTTTTTAAGAGTGAAGGGGAAGCCAGGCGTGGTGGTACACGCCTTTAATCCCAGCACTTGGGAGGCAGAGACAGGCAGATCTCTGTGTGTTCAAGGCCAGCCTGGTCTACATAGTGAGCCCCAGGACAGCTGGGGCTACAGGGAGACCCTGTCTCAGACCAAAAAAAAAAAAAAGAGTGAAGGGGAAAGAAAGAGTTCTTTCTTTCTTTTTTATGAGTATGAGTACACTGCCTGTGTATGTATGTAAGGGCATCCATGTCATGCAATGCCCATGGAAGCCAAAGGAGAGCACTGGATCCCTGGACCTGGACAGTTGAACCAAACTAGACAGCTGTTACCCACCACGTGGGTGGCTGGGAACGCAGGTCCTCTGCAAGAGCAACAAGTGCACTGCTGAGGCATTTTTCCAGCCCTCAAGAGTACATTAAGTATCTATGAATCTTAAAGTTTAGTTTCTTAAAAAAACAAAAAACAAAAACAACATTAAATTCTCTTATTTGAAAATGTTGTTTCCCTGTCAGTACTAGAGGCCGGATAGTTACATTTGCACACAATAAAAGCTAAAGATAGTTATCATATAACATCCATAGGACACAAAAGTCAAAGCAAAATTGAGCCTTATAACAGGCCTGACTGTGATCTTTAGTAACAAGTATACTGCATTCTGTAATGTCAGTTGAGTTCTTTGATATTAATGGTTTTCAACAGTGAATACATACTATTAATGGAAGCACTTAAAAAAAAATATATATATACACACACACACACACACACACACACACACACACACACACACACATACTGGTGCCCCAGCCCTGCTCCAAACCTGTGAGGGCAGGAAACTCCCTTAAGAGTAGGAAATGGCTGGTTTTAGAATTCGGCTGGAAATAAAACTCTTTGGTTTAGTTGGGTATGGTGGAAAATGCCTATCATATTAGCTGAAGGCTGAGGCAAGAGGATTGATTGTAAGTTTGAGGAGAGCCAGGGCATCCTAGTGACACGCTGTCTGAAAAATAAAAGAAAAAAACCTATCGTCTAAGTGTGTTGTTATCTACTTTTAAAGATACCACTATAACTTCATTTTCATATTTTCCTATCAAAAAATATTCAGAGGACTAGGATTAAAAGTCACAGTGGCCAGAAACACTGGACTTTTACAAGCTGAAAGTTAATTATTTTGTAATAAATATTCTTAAAGTAAGTCATAGATATATTTCACTTAATAAATACTAACCATTCAGGAAGAGGAAAAACATCTACATATAGGTATATGCTCATTTCGCTGGTTTAAGTATTAGACAATATTTAAATTTTATCTTCAACTGAATAGTACCTCAGCTTGTTAAGTATCTGATTTTTTGAATTTTCCCATAGCCGTAAGAAAAGACAAAGAAACCAGAAGTGCAAGATACCTTATTACACAGGTGTATGAAATCAGATCAATAGGGAGTTTCCACGGTTCATAGGACAAAGAACTTCTCAGAAACATTACTGCAATCTTATTGCTCATTTCTTACTCAACACAGGACTACAAAAAAGGATATTGCTATGTTCCCACCTTAACTGCCTTATGGGTTGTTCCTGTGACAGCTAGAGTCAAAAAAGATAAGTCTGGCTTCTAGAAAATCCAAAATGGCAACTTTTCTTATTTTTAAACTTGCTCTAAAATGCTTTCGCATTATCTGATTCTAAGAATTTTGCAAAAGATTACATTAGTTAAAACTGGAGAACGAGTAACTAAAACTGGTCTAAATTCTATGTTTAATCAAATATAACAATAAAAACAAGTTATACACAACGTATTGCATTTTTGTGAAAAATGTTGAAAGGGTTCTACATTAGAACTTTTCAGACAAAAATATGAGACAATCTTAAATGAATTTAATGTGCAGATTAGCCTAGGTGGCCTAGCTGGGAAATATCTAAGATTTCTACCCCATGAGACTTCCTGATTAAGAGCTGCTACAGCAAAGATAAGGAAACATGAAGGGCTTATTAGAAAGGATTTTTCATTTTTTTTGTTTCCATTTCTAGTTCAGTGACTGGCATAAACTTACATGATTTATTGTAGACTGAACAGCCTTAACGTAATGGTTTAGTTCGCGATCCATTTTAGCAAATTCAATCATCGCCTTGTCCATGCTGTATTCGCTACTCACTTCAGCTGAAAGATAAAAAGAAATTGTAATTATTTTCCACTTCAAATGCTACATCTGAAAAGGTTGAAACAACATAATCCATCAAAGGTCTAGATGGCTTTGTAAAAGTAGTGCATTTTTTTTTTTTTTAAACACAAGCCAGCTTAATTTGGTTTCTCAAGATGCTACTCAGTAAAGAAAGGCTCACTGGCAATACTGGGGTGGAAAGAAAACAGACCCATTCTCAGGAGTTCCAGGCTGTACCACTTACTGCACGATCTTAAAATCACGACTCCTCTCACTCAGTCTTGGTTCCCTTATTCCATAAAGCAGCCCCAACACCTATCTGATATATAAACCTCTCTGAGCATTAAATATTAAAGGTCAAGAGACTATAAAAAAAGTGACTATGGATTAGAAAAATAAGGTAATGTAATAAGAATTTTAAGAAGGGAATGAGAATAAATAAAGTTGACTTTTTTTTTTTTTTTGGTCTTTTTGAGACAGGGTCTCCCTGTAGCCCCAGTTGTCCTGGAACTCACTATGTAGACCTCTTAAATCATATTTGGGAATAGACATACTCCAAGAATTCCAATTCAAATAGTTCAGCCCAGACAAATGTCAGTATTTCTTCTCTACTGTGAAGAACAATGCCACTGGTCATCCCAAAGTCATGGAATAATATAAAACCCAGGTAAAACTGGAGATATAGCCCAGTGATGGGGTGTTTTCCTGGCACACATGAAGTACTGGGTTCAATCCCTAGTAACAAAAAAGAAAAAAAAGTATGTCTATCATATATATTTGACTTTTGAAAATCATTTCCAAGGGGTTGAGATTGCTAAATCAGAAAGTGCTTGCCATGTATGCGTGAGGACCTGGGTCTGATACCCCAGAATCCATATTAAAAAGACAGGCACAGGGGCTGGAGAGATGGCTCAGAGGTTAAGAACACTGGCTGCTCTTGAAAAAGACCTGGGTTCAATTCCCAGCACCTACATTGTGGCTAACAACCATCTGTAGCTCCAGTTCCAGGGGATCTGATGCCCTATTCTGACCTCTGCAAGCATTGCACAACAAGGCTGCACTTACATACATGCAGGCAATACACTCATACACATAAAAGTAATAAAATACTTAAAAAAAGAGAGATGGGGGGCATATGACTATAATCCCAGTGCTGGGGAGGCAGAGACAGGAGGATCCCTGGGGCTTGCTAGCCAGCCAGTCTAATGAGCTCCAGGTTCAGTGAGAGACCTTGTCTTTAAAAAATGAGGTAGAGTGATTAAGGAAGATGCCCATCATTAATCTCTGGCCTCCACATACATGAACGAATGGACATGCACCTATATATGCATGCATTCACACATACATGAAACTATCCCCTGGATCTTTATGCTTTAATTTTTCAGTAATCATAAACATAATCCACAAAATGCTTCCTGGAATGGTGTGCTTCCAAGTAGAATGTTTCTTAGCATTTAGCATGTGGACACAGAATATACATACAGCACAATGTAAGCTTCTCTTTTTTGGGATGGGGGGTGTTTATATAAGAAAAATCTGATTACAGAGTTCCACAACTGGTCATACACAGAGATTGTTTGTGAACTGCCCAAGCCTAAGTGGCACATCTATGATACAACCTCTACACCTAAGGCTCACAGAATGTAGAACAAGGGATAAACAGAACACTAATGCATCTTTCAACCCTCATCAGTGAAGCTCCCTCATGCAACAGGCAGCCAGGAACATAAAAGGTCACAAATGGCCAAAACAGAATAACAGTCTACAGAGTGTAGGTCCTTGAACAGGACTCTTATATTAAAATCCACCTACCCAGGGCTCAGGGACCATTGTGGAAGAGAGGGCAGAAAGACTGTAAGAGCCAGGAAAGAGGTGCATGACCATACAGAAATAGAGTCCTACAGGCTCCTGGGTTTTTTTTTTTTTTTTTTTTTTTTTTTTTGTCTTTTTGAGACAGGGTCTCCCTGTAGCCCCAGCTGGCCTAGGACTCATTTTGTAGACCAGGGTGGCCTCAAACTCACAGAGATCCGCCTGCCTCTGCCTCCCGAGTGCTGGGATTACAAGCATGTGCTACCATGCCTGGCCAGTTTTGTACATTTTTAAAGTGTACAATTTGCTATTTGAGGACACACATTTCTCCTGTGTTAACATTAGAACAATGACGCTAATGAGCCTTCCTTCCCTTCAGTAATCCTGTCTGCCTTTTCCTGCTTTTTACCCCTCCCAGCAACTACCACTGTGCTTTCTGTTGCTATAGATTAATTTCTACAATTGCATGTATGAATATGCTGTAGCTTGTCCATCCATACCCATTAGACATTTGTGCCTTGTCTAGTTTGAGGCTTTTATAAATAAGGTTTTAAGATTACTCATACCCAGTCTTATGGGAGTCACTCACAGGATATCTCTCAATTTTTTGTTAAGACCTAGATCTGTTTTTTGTTGTTGTTTTTTCACTATATTTATTATTTTAATTTTATGTGTACGCGTGTACTGCCTGCATGTAGGTTAAGTGCACCCGTGTCGTGCAATGGCCAAGGAGGACAGAAGAGGCTGCCAAATCCCCTGGAACTGGAGTTACGGACAGTTGTTAGCTGCCATGTGGGTGCTGGGATTCAAACCCGGGTCTTCTGCAAGAACAACCAGTGTTCCTAACCACTGAGCCATCTTTCCAGAGTTCTGTTTTTTAAAAGAAAGAAACTCTTGACTTTAAAATTTGTATTGCAAGCCCAGGAAAAAGCCAAAATAAATAAATCAATAATTTTTTTATTACATTTTTTTAAAAAGAAAGAAAAATCTGTATTTCCAAGCCTTACCTTAAGTAATTTTTAACAAAATGGAGTATTAGAAAGGTTTCAAGTCCTATCATTATACCACTAGAACTACTGGGTCAATGTTGTAAAAATGTCCACAATATTAACAAAGGGAGCATGCTACTTACACATTGCTGGTGTTAGCATATATAAAATTGCTTGCACAAAGTCATACTGATTGATGAACAAGAAAGGTATTTTAAGCCATTTATATCCTTATAGAATAACTTATGATACATTTATCTTTCTTGGGCTAGAGATGGAGCACAGGGCCTCGTGTGTAGCTCATATTCACAGGCATTTTCCTATACCTAGTTTCATTTCAGTACATAGTTTAGAGATGTGTGATTAACATAATTTATTTCTTAATTTAAAATAATAAAAAAGCCAGGCATAGTAGCTCATGCTTATAATCCTAGCAATTAGGAGGCTGGGGCAGAAAGTTGCTGTAAGTTTAAGGCCAGCTGGGGCTATATACATTAAGCTCCAGGCTAGCCTCAGCTTCAATTGTGAAACTCTGCATCAAAATAATCAAAATAATAGTAGTAACAACAACAACAACAACAACAACAGAGTTTTGGTGTCACAGAAGTCTTACCTGGTTTTTAAACCATTCATTTTCTTTCCTCAATGGAATCAGCAAGTTTTATAGTATTAGATTCTGATACTAGGCCTGTAGAAATGGGTAAAGTTGGTGACCTGAGCAAAAACTAAGAGCATATATTGCTTTTTCAAAAACATAACATGAACGGCACCTCAAAAATCACACAGAAATCAACTAAAGAACTTACTGGGAGCAAATCTCTGAGGCATATGAAATGATAGTGTGTGAAGGGCTATCATCAGCAGGACTTGATATAATGCTAGGTATCTCTCTCTGAAATGAGTTAATTTTTGAAAACACCCAGAATGTGCCTAAGCCATCAAAAATGTTATAAGAATTTGGAAAAGAAGACAAGATGATGGTTGTTATCAAGGCTGCACAGATGCTAGGCTAGAAGGTTTAGACTGGGGAGTTCCTTGTTGAAATACAAGGCCAAAGAGATCTTCCTGCAAAGGAGAAAAGGAGCTGTAGCTGGGCCAGGGTTTCATGGCATTTAAGCCTAAGGAAGAACCTCTACAGGTTAAGTTGTGGCTTACAGGTAGCCTTAGCTAAGGCTCCAAAGAATGTCTGGAGAGCTGAAGAACACAGGTGAATAGCAAAACATAAGGAAGGAGGAAACACTAGAGGGGATGAAGTGGTTCTGAGAACTGAGGGTCAAAGAATATGGGAGAGTGGTGACAGTCAAAAAACTTTGTTGTGTCTCTGGACCCGCTGCAGAAGGAGGGCAGAGAGGACAAGAGACCAGAACTAGAGGATACTCCCACAATCCTATCTTGAAGACAGCTCTTGAAAACATCCAAACCAAGTAACCAGCCTAAAATTGTTGTGATTCTTCTTGTTCTTCTTAATCCTTATTTCCTTTTAGTAGTAACAACACAGTTGGGGTGTGTGTGTGTGTGTGTGTGTGTGTGTGTGTGTGTGTGTCCAAAAAAATGGGATAGGGAAGGCATGAGAATTTGTCTTGTTCTACAAAAGAACTGAGGAGGGGAACTAAGGGTAAGCAAGGTGTTATACGAAAAAAGGCAAATACCCCCACCTTCATCTCTCAAATCTCTGGAAAGTTTTGGAAGGGGGGGGTAGAGGAGAGGGGGCAGCAGCATATAAACAGGCCAAGTTGGCTGTTTACTACTGAAAAGTGGCTGGGGTATGGACTGGAGAAGAGATAGACCCAGGGACTCCCTGGCACTTGATTCTATAGCATATAGTCACACCATCAAAATTCCCTCACTTGGGAGCTAGAAAGATGTTAAGTCAGTGATTAAGAGAACATAGTGCTCTTAGAGAGGCTCCTGAATTCAGTTCCCAGCACCCACAATGTATGTACGTATATAAAAAAATCTCAACAACCCCTGAGCCCCATCCCCCTCACACATATTTTTCACAAAAAGTCTTCCTGAGAATCTCTACCAAATTTAATCTGTATGTCCTTCAAGAGCTGAGCTCAAATTACATCTGGTCTGAAATTACACCAACCTAGAAGAAACTCTTTGTTTATCTTAACCACTACACTTGTATTTTCGCACTATAAAAAAATATTGCCTTTACACTGGGCATGGTGGCACACACCTTAAACGCCAGCACT